CAGTGTGTGTGTGTCTCAGTGTGTGTGTGTGTGTCTCAGTGTGTCTCAGTGTGTGTCTCAGTGTGTGTGTGTGTGTCTCAGTGTGTGTGTGTGGTCTCAGTGTGTCTCAGTGTGACTCAGTGTGTGTCTCAGTGTGTGTGTGTGTGTCTCAGTGTGTGTGTGTCTAAGTGTGTCTCAGTGTGTGTGTGTGTCTCAGTGTGTCTCAGTGTGTGTGTGTCTCAGTGTGTGTGTCTGTGTGTCTCAGTGTGTGTGTGTCTCAGTGTGTGTGTGTCTCAGTGTGTGTGTGTGTCTCAGTGTGTGTGTGTGTCTCAGTGTGTGTGTGTGTCTCAGTGTGTGTGTGTGTCTCAGTGTGTGTGTGTGTGTCTCAGTGTGTGTGTGTGTCTCAGTGTGTGTGTGTGTCTCAGTGTGTGTGTGTGTCTCAGTGTGTGTGTGTGTGTCTCAGTGTGTGTGTGTGTGTCTCAGTGTGTGTGTGTCTCAGTGTGTGTGTGTGTCTCAGTGTGTGTGTGTGTGTCTCAGTGTGTGTGTGTGTCTCAGTGTGTGTGTGTCTCAGTGTGTGTGTGTGTGTCTCAGTGTGTGTGTGTGTCTCAGTGTGTGTGTGTGTGTCTCAGTGTGTGTGTGTGTCTCAGTGTGTGTGTGTCTCAGTGTGTGTGTGTGTCTCAGTGTGTGTGTCTCAGTCTCAGTGTGTGTGTCTCAGTGTGTGTGTGTCTCAGTGTGTGTGTGTGTCTCAGTGTGTCTCAGTGTGTGTGTGTCTCAGTGTGTGTGTGTCTCAGTGTGTGTGTCTCACAGCACTGGGTGACGGCTCCAGACGTGCTCAGGTCTCGGTACTCTCTGTACATGTTGTGCGTTCCGCTGCGGGAGTCGTAGCGCAGCCAGATCCCAAAGTTCTTCACCTTCAGAGGAGTCTTCTCATGAACCTGTACATACGGGTCAGAACCATCAGAACCAGAGCTGCTGCTTTCAGAACCAAGCCAGTGAGCCCACAGGCCTAAACCAGACCGGGTCCTGTTTATCTGTGCTACCCATCAACCCGTCCTACCTGGTGGTGATGTCACATTCTGCTGACTCAGCAGATTTCTTATAAATACGTTCTTCTTGTGAAAGTTTTGTTTCATGAGTTTTATTACGATAAGCTTTATTTATTTTATATCAGGCTTCATTATCTGCTGTATTACTTCATGTTTTACTTTACATGACAGGCAGATTATAAATATATTCATAAATGGCTTCAGTTTTCCGACTGCAGAGTCGATACTGTCAACTTCTAGATACATTGTTTTTGTCCCTATATTTTAACATTTTTTAGTTTAATTACACTTTTTTTATGATTAAAATTTTCTAAATAGATGTGGGATTGAAGCTGCAACAGCCTGTAATATTAGTGCATATTAATCATATCCCATCATTGCAGTGACACGTTGTGGCTGCTGCTGATAACAGACATATAAAGTATTAATGCACATAAAGTGATCTGCTGTCTGGGTTTGATTTGATTCCAATAAAACCTGTTTTCCTGTCTGATATTGTTTCATTCTTACAAAAGCCTCTATTTAAATATTAACAGGAAGATATTCCAGTAAGCATAAACTGCTAAGCTTCCACTTCAGTCACTCAATAACGTTATCAATATATTGATCATTAACAAGCCGCTGTAGCTTGTTTGTAAACATGATGGGAGCAGTTTCAGACGGGTAGCACCGACTGATAGACCTCGCTATCTATCCGTGCTGCGGTAGGAAAATCTGACGGGGTAGCTCAGATAGTCAGAACATTGGGTCTGAGCTGTGGCTCCCCCTGCAGGAAGCAGCTGAAACATTTCAGACTGGTCCAGTTTCCGGGCCTGGAACCAGAACAGAACCAGACCGAAGCTTCACCTGACCTTGGTCAAATGTAATTGAACTTTGTCTAATAAAACATCTTACCGTCTCAGTTTTCAGGTTTTGACATTCAGGAAATTGTTTTGTTTATCCAGAAATGGAAACTATAAAATAATTCATGGATTATTTCATCCAGATGTTGAGGTTGAAGCGCCGCAGCTGAAAATCTGGTTCAAACTTTACAGCTTTCTAAATAAAGTCAATACAAATGAACTCCAGTCAGTTTCAACTCATCATGATATGAAATAAATATCTGGTCCAACAGTACTCAACATTAAGGCTTTTAATTAGGACTGTCAACACAATTTGCTGGATGATGAATTTCCGCAGTGATTAATTATAATATTGTTGCTTTGAGACCATTTTCAAATAATATATTGATAATGACATAATACCAGTTTGTCCCTCAAAGACCAATTCTGATATAAAAAACTGGAAAATATTTTAAGTTTCCAAAATACAGAAAAAACCCCAAAAACAATAGAAACGATTATGTCTGTAAACAATTTTCCCTCAAAATGTATTAATCAGAATAAAAATGATTGAGTTCATTTAATTTATTGTGTAATCAATTGACTTACTAGTTATTATGACACTTAATAAAAAGTTGAATTTCACTTAATTACCAAACTCTGCAGTTTATGAATAAAGAACTTTTAATTATTTAAGAGAAATAATTTTTTTTTACAAACCTTGAAAACCTGATTTAAATTCAAACAGAACCATCAGAACCAGTCAAATCAGACCGGAACCGGTCCAATCTAGACCGGTTCCGGTCCAGATTGGACCCCCCTCCCCGGTCCCGGTCGGCCCACTCACCAGGCCACAGTAGACGATCTCTCCAGACGCCTTCTTCATCTTCCTCAGCTGGGACACAAAGTACCAGAAGCGGGACTTGGCCACCACGTGGTTCGGGGCAAAGATCCTCATGCGGTACAGCGGCGGGGCCGGGTTCTTGGCCGAGGGCAGCAGGCGCCCGATGACCTTATACTCCCGAAGCTGCGGGCAGAACCAGACGGGATCAGAAACAGAACCTCACACACAGGACCGGTCGGGTCAAAGTGTTGGACCAAGAATTCACTTTCAAAGACATCAGAGTCAGAGAAAGGCGACAAGGTTCTGGTTCTGTTTGCACGCCTGACAAAGTCCCGCCATGGAGGACGGCGGGACCTTTGGGTTAGGCTGCAGGACCAAATCCGACGTTTGGGTCAGAACCTGACAGACCGGGACAAACAGAACATCTCACTGATTCTTTGACTTTAAAAGGTTTAAACTGGAGATTTCTGAGACTGAAGCCAAAATCTGAGTCATTTTTTAACACAACAAATTCACCTGACGGACATTTACTGTTTACCAACAAATAAACCAGAAATTCACTGACTAGATTCTCACTCTTGAGTCCAGCATCTTCTCCTCTGGTTAGCACCTCAACACCTGAACTTTGACCCCTAGAGGCCTCCTCAGAATTGCTGGAACATTGACTGCTACTGGATATCTTGGATGATAGGAGTAAGACATTTAATTTTCCTTTAGGACAAATAAAGTATTTTGGAAGTGAATTTTTAATTTGAACTGCAATTGAAAAGAAACTAGGAAGTTATCTTTTTTAAATATAGCCAGAGTGCCTCTGAAGCCAACATTAAAGGTAAAATGTGTTTTCCTTTAGCTGTCCTAACTTTTGGGCTCAACAGAATGACTATAATTAGAAACTTAAGTTGAACCTTTCATGGAAATATAGGCTGGTGATAAATACATCAACCCACAGAGGATCTGAGTTATTTTACTGTTCTACACTCGCCATCAAGCCTATTGTTGGTCATTTGAGCCGAACCGGTGCACTAATCTGCACTGAAATTAACTATAATCCAGGAGCTGAAACCCGCGATGCACATCTCTTTAAACCATCATGGAGGGTTTCTACTTTAGTTACACGTCTGAAAAATTCTAGCTTCGGTTGTGGACCAGGCCCAAGACCTGATCCACACATTACTAGTCAAACAAATCCAAATTGTGTGTTCATTTTAAACTTTAAGCCAGAAAACGTCTCAGTTTAACTCTTAGCTGCTCTCCGTCCACATGGTGCCGCGGCGGCCATGTTGGAGCGGCAGCGGCGTGAAAAAAACATTAATATTCCCCTTCTAAAGTTGATATTTGGCACAAATTCGCACACGAACCGAACTAACGTTACATCACACTGCTGTCTGAGCGATTCTTAACCGTGTAAAATGCGCTAAAACAGCTGAAATGCAGGACATTCTTACTGTTCCGGACGCCTTCATGGTGTCTGTCGCTCAGCGCCACAATGAAAGAGGAGGCAGCAAGGCGGATACTGCGCATGTCAAGAGGAAGGAGGAACTGAATCTACCCAGATACAGTGTACGTCTCACACTGTGATAGGCTGAACTAATAATTACACGTTTACAAGTGTACATGTAATTGTCATTGGCTGAACCACGGACACGTGAATAGTTCGCCCGTCTTCGCTAAAAAAATAGGAGTTATAATAATACCAGTAATAAATATCAAATTACACAAATATATCATTCTATATGTATGACTAATATTTTTAGAATTCCGTTGGAATAATAATGATAAAATTATTCTGGTTCTGTACGGTAACCATCATCTAGGTTACCATCGAAACCCAAAAATTAACATTTTCAGTTAACGTTTTTTTTAAATTTATTTTTTGTAGTTTAACTTTTTTGCTTTATTCATTTTAGCTCAGGCCACAGTTTTGTTTTAACTTTGTCTAGTCAAAGTAAGCACAAACAAATGTGGCAATTACAATATTGTCACTCTGCAGAAGGTACAGCAGAGGCAGACTTAGAAATGGGAACATAACAGCAAAATTGATACAAAAAATAAACTACAACAATGGGATTAATATTTTAGGATTAATATGCATTAGTGGACAATTCCATTAATATTTTAGTCAGGTATTCAAATGTTTCAATACACGTTAAAGAGTTCAAATATAGCTGGAATTCAGGTAAAAAAAAAACTAATAAAAAAAACTGGGGACGATTTTATGATCTTAGTACTCTGTTTATGAATAAATAATTTTGCCAGGCAAAATTACAAAAGAGTTCTGCTTTCGGGTATTTTCAGTTAAAGTTTCGTGAATGTATTTGTATGTCTTTGGCTCAGTGCGCCGCCCAGTGGGCACAATGAATATTACCCCCTCCCTGGCCTCCTGACCCGGATATAAACCCGTGGCGGACATGCTGGCTGCGCCGTGTGATTCCTGACGACATGCGGACGGTTTCTGGAGGGTCCCGGTGATTGTGTGGTAGACAGAGAGCCGCGGAGGAGTCAGAGTTCAGTACGGTGAGCAGATCGGTTCCTCCGGGGAGGGAATGAAGGGCCGGTCGGCCGGCGGAGTGATCGCTTAGCGGGATGTTATTGACCGACTGCAGCGAACGGAACCGGGCCGAGACGCACAGAACTAAATAACATTCAGAAACTCCCATCTCTGTCGGTTGGTACTGGTTCTGTCTGAACTGGTTTAAGCCCATCTGACCGCCCTGGTTCCCCAGCAGCAGGTAAACCTGCTGTACAGCCTCAGTCAGCTCGCTGTGTTTGGGCAAAAGTTTTAGCTTTGAGCGGTGATTCTGCGGCCCGAGAGGCTGTGGGGTGTTGATCCAGAGAGGGGACCTTGATCCAGCTGTCCGGCTCTGTCAGAACATGGAGGCCGGTGTTTTCCTGACGCTAAGCCTGGTAAATGCGGGGCTGCAGGTGTTGGCACCGTGTTGCATCATGTTGCTCTTAAAGCGATCCGTCTGTGCTGTCCGTGATCCAGAAACACGAACCGAACTTCGGCTGTCACTAACTTCTGATCATATCCAAAGTACCAACTACCGCGAACCGCCCAGAACCGGCGGGTAGAATCAGTGCAACAGTCCGGCTAGAGAGCACAGAGTCCGGGATAAACAAAGAACCGGAGGCCGCTGACCCACCGGACACTCATTACTAACCACAAACTGTCACTAACTACCAACAGAGACTGTTAACTGTCACTAACTACCAACAGAGACTGTTAACTGTCACTAACTACCAACAGATGTCGTTAACTGTGAGCTAACCTCTTAGTAACATGTGCATGGGTTAAATGGTCTAACAACTAGTTTACCTTTAGTGTTTTTCACTACATTTCCAAGATGTTTAATGACCAGCCACTAACTATTCACTAACTTATCTACAAAAAATGTTAAATAACATAAGTAATGTGTAATAGCATGTCACTAACTACCCATCATGTAGCCTACATACAGCTTTAACTAGTGTTGGTAACCAATACCAGGTTATTTCCCCGCCGTTCGGTAACCATTGTAACCGGTTACTGTCATGTGACAGCTGACCTGAGCTGTCTGCAGTTCAATCAGGAAGTTGGACTTCAAGTTCTGGTTCTGATGAGTCTGGTCCAGCAGTCACCAGAACTTAAAGCCCATAGTTTATGCAAACGGTACCAGAAATGGGCCCGGAACCCAGAAGTTGTGCTGAGTGCTTGTGGACGTGGTTAACTCCTGGTTAACTCTCCTGCAGATGTTCCACAGCTGTTCCACTGCAGCACCGAGGAACCGAGCCCACTGTGAGGAAAGTTAACCCCTGCATGGCCTGCCAGTCTGTCTATGCAGTCATGGACGAGCAGGCACTGCTGGGGCTCAACCCCAACGCTGATGCCCCCTACAGGCAGAGGGTGAGGCTGCTCAATGGGCCGTTTTCTGTCCGCACAGACAGGGGGCGCTGTTCACCTGCAGGGTAAAGCTTGCTATGTGTCTCTGCAGGCTTTGGCTTACTTTGAGCAGCTGAAGGAGTCTCAGGATGCCTGGGAGGTCTGCGCTGACGCGCTGGCTAAAGGTATCTACAGGTGAGAGCCTCCAGAGAGCGCAGCACAAGATTCAGTACTTCAGCTAAATCTCTATTGCCAGGTCCTTGCTTTAAAAAAAAAACAAAGCAAGGTGCACTGAAAAATTTATGATAGTAGACATCCTAAAAATTGGCCCCCGTGCTCATCAAGGAAAAATTTACTGACACACATACACCTGTTCATGGTTTTTCTCTGCAGCGACGACCACGTCAAGTTCTTCTGCTTCCAAGTCCTGGAGCATCAGATCAAGTTCAGGTGAGGAGCAGCAGGTGTTCCTGGTGGGCTGTGGGCGCTGCTGGTCTTCTGACTCATGTTGTCGTTGTTGTTGCAGACATGCAGGTCTGAGCGCAGCTCAGCAGCAGCTCATCAGAGAGACGCTGATGAAGTGGCTGCAGACCCAGGTACCGTCACCTTCACCGAGGCTCCGTCAGAACCAGAGACATTCCTCCTGATCATGTTCTCCTCGCTCTGCAGCTGATGAATGCTCAGCCGGAGAAGGCTTTCATCAGGAACAAGGCGGCCCAGGTGTTCGCCCTCACCTTCGTCATGGAGTACCTCACTCTGTGGCCCAAGTTCTTCTTTGATATCCTGAACCTGGTGGGTCTGAACCCGCACGGTGTCGACATCTACCTGCGGACGCTGATGGCCATCGACGCTGAGGTCGTGGACCGAGACATCGTGCACACGCCTGAGGTGAGCATGCACGGACGGCTAGGAGGCTGTGGTTCTGGTCCACACTCTGACCCGGCACCGTGTTCTGCAGGAAACCCGCAGGAATACGTTGATCAAAGACTCCATGAGGGAGCAGTGCATTCCCAGTCTAGTGGAATCCTGGTTCCAGATCCTGACGGCGTACCAGCAGACCCACCCGGAGCTCACCTGTCAGTGTCTGGAGGTGGTGGGCGCCTACGTGTCCTGGATCGACCTCAACCTCATCGCCAATGACCGGTCAGCAAACGCACCACTCAGCTGACCCGCTTGAAGAGATTCTGGTTGGTTCTGTGGGTCATCAGTTCGTCTTGTTCTAGGTTTGTGAACCTGCTGCTCAGTCAGATGTCCATGGAGGACCTGAGAGAAGAGGCCTGCGACTGCCTGTTTGAAATCGTCAACAAGGGCATGGACCCGGTGGACAAAACCAAGCTGGTGGAATCGCTGTGCCAAGTTCTGCAGACAGCCGGGTTCTTCAACATCGAGCAGGTAAGAATCATCCTCACAGCACCAACACGGAACCTCCTGGTTTAGGACTGAAATCTTCTGGTTGAAGACAGGAATCTCCTGACATTGAGGCCCCAGGACCCGAACCTTATGGTTTAAGACCAGACTCTTCTGGTTCAGGTCCAATGATTTCCTCTGATCCCTCAGGAGGAAGATGTGGACTTCCTGGCCAAGTTTTCCCGGCTGGTGAACGGGATGGGCCAGAGTTTGGTCCTGAGCTGGTCCAAGTTGGTAAAGTCTGGGAACGTGAAGGAGGCGACGGAGACGCTTCATGCGGTGGAGGCCAAGGTGCCGCTGCTGCTGCAGTTGCTGGTGCATGAAGACGACGACATCTCGACCAACATGGTGGGCTTCTGCTACGACTACCTGCACGTGCTCAAACAGGTGAGTCCCCCAGAGGAGGTGGGTCCGGATCCTTCTGAAGCAGGTACTGATTCCATTCGCTCTCTGCAGCTTCCTCAGTTGACGGAGCAGCAGAAGGCGAACATTGAGGTGAGTCACAATGGTTGAAGCTGAAGATGTTGGGGCTTTCAGCTGCTGGTTGGTGATAAAGCTCTGAGTGTCTGCAGGCCGTCATGCTGACTGTGATGAAAAAGCTGACCTACGACGATGAGTACAACTTTGAGAACGAGGTGGGTGGTGTTCCTGGGTGGAGTTGGAGGATGATGATGGAGTTGGAGGATGATGATGGAGTTGGAGGATGATGATGGAGTTGGGGATGATGATGGAGTTGGAGGATGATGATGGAGTTGGAGGATGATGATGGAGTTGGAGGATGATGATAGAGTTGGGGATGATGATGGAGTTGGAGGATGATGATGGAGTTGGGGATGATGATAATGGAGTTGGGGATGATGATGATGGAGTTGGGGATGATGATGATGGAGTTGGGGATGATGATGATGTGTTCCAGGGTGAAGATGAGGCCATGTTCGTAGAGTACAGGAAGCAGCTGAAAATGCTGCTGGACCGCCTGGCTCAGGTTTCGCCGGAGCTGCTGCTGGAAGCCGTGCGCCGGGTCTTCACCAGCACCATGCAGTGAGTCCAGGCGATGATGACGATGGCTCTGGTGTTGGTCCAGGTTCTGACCCAGTTCTGTGTTCCGTCAGGAGGTGGCAGACGGCGCCGTTCATGGAGGTGGAGGTGGCCATCCGGCTGCTCTACATGCTGGGCGAGGCGTTGCCGGCGTCTCACGGCGCTCACTTCTCCGGTGACTCGGCGAAGACGAGCGCGCTGCAGGACATGATGAGGACGGTGAGTCACATGACCCGACATCTGGAATGGATCAGAACCAGAATCTCCTGCCTTTGACTCTTCAGAACCACTTGCTGTCCCTCACTGCTTCCTGTCTCTCCTCAGCTGGTTTCCTGCGGCGTCAGCGGCTACCAGCACTCCTCCGTGTCTCTGGAGTTTTTTGAAACGGTTGTCAGATATGATAAATTCTTTATCGTAGAACCGCAGCACATTCCCAATGTTCTGGTGAGTCCGGCTCCCAGAGTACGGTTCTGATGATCCGAATTGCATTTTGATGTGGAAGTGTGTCTCCAGATGGCGTTCCTGGACCAGAGAGGACTGAGACACAGTAGCCCCAAGGTCCGGAGCAGAGTGGCCTACCTGTTCTCCAGGTTCATCAAGACTCTGCAGTGAGTTCTCGGTCCGAAACGGGTCGTAACCGGGCCCGTCTCTCGGTCAGAACTGGGCCTTCACTCCCCGCTCTGACCACATGGCTGTTTCTGTCCAGTAAACACATGACGGCGTTCATTGAGGACATCCTGAACCGGATCCAGGACCTGCTGGAGCTGGCTCCTCCTGTAAGCAGATGTTCTCCTCTGACTCCTCTTAACCTTTCACCCTGACTGCTTTGACTCCTTCCTCAACTCTTGACTCCTCTTGCAGGAGAACGGCTTCCTGGCGCTGCTGACCAGTGACGACCAGCTCTTCATGTTCGAGGCAGCCGGCGTTCTCATCGTGAGCGGCGAGAGTCCGGTGGAGCGGAAGCAGGTTCTGATGAGGAGTCTGCTGGCGCCGCTGATGGACGCCTTCCGCCTGCTCCTCGCCAAGCTGCTGCAGGAGAGCGTGGAGGAGCGGCAGGCCGCGCTGGCCGACTGCCTGAGCCACGCCGTGGGATTTGCCAGGTCAGAACCAGCATCGGGCTCCTTCGGTGCCGCCGGGCTCCTTCGGTGCCGCCGGGCTGACTCCTCCTTTGTCTCTGCAGCCGGACCAGCAAGGCGTTCAGCAACAAGCAGACGGTGAAGCAATGCGGCTGCACTGAGGTCTATAGAGACTGCCTGCATAGCTTCCTGCCGGCACTGAGCTGCCCCGTCCAGCGGGGGGCGCTGCGCAGCGCCGTGCGCTCCTTTCTGCATCGCATGATCATCTGCATGGAGGAGGAGGTGCTGCCCTTCATCCCGGCCGCCTCGGAGCACATGCTGAAGGACTGCGAGGCCAAAGACCTGCAGGAGTTCATCCCGCTCATCAGCCAGATCACGGCCAAGTTCAAGGTACGTTCAGAACCAGAGCCAGAACCCTGAGGTTCCCCGCCGGGCCTCACTCACTCCCCTCTCCTTGCAGCGCCAGGTGTCGCCCTTCCTGCAGCAGATCTTCATGCCGCTGGTCCTGGCCATCTTCGAGGTTCTGGGCCGACCCGCGGAGGAGAACGACCAGACGGCGGCGCTGGAGAAGCAGATGCTGCGGCGGAGCTACTTCGCCTTCATCCAGACGGTCGCCGGCAGCGGCATGAACGAGGTGCTGGCCAATCAGGGTGAGCGCCAAGGCCACGAAATCACAATCGGTTCTGTTTGGGCTCAGGAAGCTGGAGGCGATCCGAGCAGCAGAACATTTGGCCCGGCGGTCCAGATGTTGGTCGTGTGACCCGTTTGGTTCTGGTTCCAGGAGCAGAAAACATTGAGCGGGTTCTGTTCACCATCATCCAGGGCGCCGTAGAGTTCCCGGACCCGATCGCTCAGAAGACCTGCTTCATCATCCTGACCCGGCTGGTGGAGCTGTGGGGTGCGTCTCCGCGTCTCCACACCGTGACCTCGGTTCTGGTTCCGGTAAGCCTCTGGGACTAATCTGTGTGTGGTTCTGATCCGATCCGCAGGCGGGAAGGACGGCATGGTGGGCTTCCCTGACTTCATCTACAAACACATTGTCCCAGCCTGCTTCCTGGCACCGCTCAAACTGACCTTTGACCTCTCTGACGCCCAGACCGTTCTGGTGAGTCTGGAACCGAACCTTGTCTGAACCCGGTCACTCGACCCGTTTGATTCTGATGGTTCTGTTGCTCCTCAGACGCTGTCGGAGTGCACGCTCACGCTGAAGATGATCCATCTGAAACGGGTAAAAACGGTTCTGTTCTTCCCGGTTCTGTGAGGTTCTTATTGGGTTCTAAGGTTCTGTTTGCTCCTCAGGAGTCAGAGTTCATCCAGTTCCTGCAGCATGAGTACCTGCCATCCCTGCAGGTGACTCCAGAGATCTCACAGGTAGGTCAGAACCAGAGCCGTAGTTCTGCTCAGATTCTGGTGTTGGTTCTGATCCCCATCTTGGTTCTGATCCAGGAGTTGTGCCAGGTCCTCCAGCAGCCCGATGTCAAAGTCCTGAAGAACTACATCAAGGTAGGAGGCGTCCTGACCCGGTTCTGGTGCCTTTGGGCTTCCTGTGACGGTTCCGTCTGTCTGCAGGTGTTCTTCCAGAGAGCCAAGCTGTGATCCCGCCCGGACTCTGCTGGAGCTGGAGGTCGGAGCGCCGCTCTGACCGGACGACGAGCCGTCCCACAGAATCGGCTCCGAGGTTCTAGACTCGGCTCGGAAGCTGGACAGCGCAGAACCCACTCCTCACCTCTGGATCCTGAAGTGGGAACGGTCCCGCGATCCGCTTGTTTTGAGTTTGCAGTGAAACATTTCAGCCCGTCTCGGCCCGTCAGAACCGACGCCACGGCTGCTCACCCAGGTTCTGGGACGGTTTCTGATCCACCACAGGATCTGAGTGTAAATAAAAAAGTTGTTAAAACTGTAAATAAAGATGCTAGCTTTAGTTTTTTTTAAAAATAATTTGTCACATCTGGGAGCCTTGTACGGAAGCCCATTAATGCCAAGATAAAGATCCAGTTTATAAGTGAAAGAAAAAAAGCTGGTGGTTGAACCTGACCTGATTTATCCTGGAAATGTTTACATGAAAATATTTTCTGTTACTAATTTAGACTTCAGTGAAACTCTAATAATTGGTTGAGCTGCGAGGAGTTTTCATTTCTGATCTGTTTATTTATCATGTTTCTGTTCTGGTCTCATTGTCATTGCTGAATGTGTGACTCAGTAAATTTCCTGCAGATCTTATTTCATCATAAAAGCAGCTTTAAAAATATCATTTTGTTTTTCTTCTGCAATCTTTAAACATTTAAAACATCTGTTTGAGTCTAAAATATTTTAGCAAGAGAACTGATTAAAAAAAAACTTTTTAGATGTTTAAAACATCTATATTTTATCATTATGCCACTGTGACTTTCCAAGCAGTTAAACTCCTCAGCCAATCACCTGGACAGAAGCTGGAAGCTCTGCTGTCTTGTGCCCTCTAGTGGTGGTTTGACAAAATAACATGTTTGGTTTTCTAAAACCCAAAACATGCGTTCCTGATGGCTCCTTAGGATATTGCTGATAAAATACCTCAGAGCAGAAAGTATTTTATGTATCTGGATCAAACCATCAGGAAAGGGAATATACTGGGAGAAACATTCAATCAAAGTTGGACAGGAAACCTAAACCTGAAGTGTTATGCCTGGATGTGGACCTGCAGAGTTTCTGATTACAAATGAAATTCCCAGGCAGTTTTAGGTTGGGTTTAGGAAGAGACTGGCTTGAGGTTAAGGTTGGGATTACCAGAGGTAAATCTGGAATACGTCTGAGATTAGGATGAGGTTGGGAAAGCTAGAGACTGGAATGAAGCTGGTTAATGAGGTTGAGTTGGGGTGAAGTTAGAATGAGGGGCGAGGATGAGATGTGGTCAAGCTGAGGTGACGATAAGGTTGAAGGTCGGCCGTTGAGGTCAGGATGAAGTATGAAAATCTTGCGGTGGATCTGGCAGGAGGATTGATGATGCTGCCAACAGCGTTTATACAGTTTTGTATTGTAAACAAACTTTTAAGCTTCATGTGATCACTTTTATTTTGTAAACCAAAAACAGCTGGTCTCGGTGCAGAACCAGCCTCTCAGCTTCCTTTTAAACAGAAATGAACTGAACTGTTCAGAAGCAGAGAAAAGAACCAGTTCAGACTAAAGAGTCTGTGAGGTGTTCAGCCTTTGATCACAGCGATGGGTCTCAGTTTGATGGCCTTCTTGCTGATTCCTGCGTCATGACATGTGTTCACCACGTCCGTCACGTTCTTGTACGACTCTGGAGCCTGAAAGGAAACCGAATCCAGTTTGTTTCCTCAGAGGTGTTTCTGGGAATGTTTCTGATCAAAGATCATTGTCTTTCTCACCTCCTCCATCACCAGTTTGGGAGATGCCACTCGGATGGCGATGCCCATATCGGCCAGTTTGTCCAGGACGTCCTGGAAGTCCAGATTCCTGCGGGACTTGGCTCGAGAGAGGGCACGGCCCTGCAACAGAGCACAGGAAGTGAATGAAACATCCAAGTCCTCCCTGATGTCGGGAATCTCTTGATCAGACTCTTACCGCTCCGTGACATGTGGTGCCGAACGTTTCCGTCATTCCTTGTTCGGTTCCTGTCAGGACGTAGCTGCAGGTTCCCATCGTCCCTCCGATGAGCACCGGCTGGCCTGTGAGCTGAAGGAAGCAGGAATGTTTCAGAACAGCTACTAATGTCAGCAGGCAGCGCCAAGGTCCAAAGAGTACCTGGTAGTCCACCGGGATCAGTGGGTGGTGAGGAGGGAAGGCACGGGTGGATCCTTTCCGGTGAACCAGCAGCGTCCTCTGCTTCCCGTCCACCATGTGCTCTTCCACCTTGGCGATGTTGTGGGAAACGTCGTAGATGACGTGCATGTCCAGGTCGTCTGGCGTGGTGCCGAACACTTTGGAGAAGGCCTGGAAGGTCGGATAAAGACGGACTAAGAAGATGTTTGGGCCTCCAAATTGAACACAATATTAAAAGTGAAGGTGTTCTTCTTCCTGTAGAAATGTTCAGATTTACAGGCACTTCATCTTTCACTCTTAAGAATCGTGCCCCAACTTGAACAGGAAGTGACCTCAAAAGATTCTATCCAATCATCATTCTGCTTCGATCTACTCCCCTTAGAGCAGTTGCTCATGGTTTGTTAGTTTGGCTGGGAACAAACCAGGTTTTTCATCCTAATGCACAGGTTTGAGGTCGAGCCTTTGGTAAGGTGGTTCCAGCAGCTCAACACTGGCTCACTTTAGCCACTGAAACCCGTTCTGATTGGATCACAGCTCTGTTGGAACATCCAACTGTGGACCAGTTTCAACCAACAAGCTGTTGATTTGAAGTGCAATTACAAAACACATTTAGTTTTTAGTTAGTCATTCAAGGCTTGAGTTGGTGGGTTCTGGGTCGGTTGTGGACATCCTTTGCTCTGAGGTGGACCAGTTTGGGTCAGGTGTTTGAATCTTGGAGACAACTAGGTGTTCTAACAGAACAATAATTTCAACTGGACATTTTCCTGGAATGACCATCCCAAAACTCCAACTTCAACCCAAAAGAAAATTCATGGACTTCAATTAAAATCCAGGTCAGTACCAGAAAACCAAAATTTTATAGTCTGTAAAATTTTGACACTTTGTGGAGCCGAGCAATTAACTCATCAAATGAAGACCAACTCGTTAACGATTGCCTGAGTTATTAGGAACTTGGATCAATTCCTCAGATCAGCTGGATGTGACTCGTCAGAACCTACCTGAACTGACTGGTTTAGGACTAGTTAACCTTCGGGTAATGCAACCGAGCTGCTAGTCAGCTGATGTGGGCCTCTGCCAGGTGAGCGAACCTGTCTGGTGAGGAAGGTCATGGAGGAGCGGTTGACCCAGGCGTAGTTCCCTGCAGCAGCCATTCCCTTCAGGTAGTCCTGGCCCTCCTGGGAGGTGATGCGAGCGCAGGCCAGCTGCCGGTCGTTCACTGTGATCTTATCCCGCTTCATGGCCTTCTCCATGGCAACCAGAGCATCTGTAGACAACAAACCCATTAGTGACCTGATGAGGTCAAACCCAACTGGACCTGAGGTAATGCTGGGTGTGGACTCTGTCTTTCGGAAATCCGGGGTGCACCTGTGGCGACCTGGTGTCCGAGGCCGCGGCTGCCGCTGTGGATCATCACGCACACCTGGCCCTTGTGGTCGATGCCCATCTTCTTGGCGGCGTACTCGTTGTAGATCTCGTCGACCACCTGGATCTCGGCATAGTGGTTTCCGGCCCCAAGCGTTCCCAGCTTCGTCACGCAGAGAGAACAGCGGTTGGTACTCGATACTCACGGGTAAATGGTAAATGGCCTGAACTTGTATAGCACTTCATTAATGGGACGATGGTGGCGACCGAAGCAGGAGCTTGTCGTGAAGTCTTGGACCTACTGGTGGAGGTCAGAGGGCCCAGTGCACGACAGCTTCTCCTCTGTCAGTATGTAGTGTAAAGCACTTCACGCTACATTCAGTCATTCATCTGTATGTCTGAATGGGTCGTATAGGGCTGCCAAGCACCGGCGCCAACGGCCCTCAGACCTCCAACAGCAGGCAAGGTGGGTGAAATATCTTGCGCAAGGACACAACGAGAGGCGGAAAGAGGAGAGATTGATCCCACTGATAGCGAGACAAACTCCTTTACCGTCGCCACCTTCATCCCAGTGACATGTGGGGGCGGGGCCTATGACATACCTGTGGCAGGCCTCTCTTCTTGGCCTTGGACGACACCTTGCTGGGGTCGGCCTGAAGCATCCGGCCGTACTCCTCGCAGTGCTCCTTGTCCTCAGCCCAGGCGTAGCCCTCCCTCAAGGACCAGTCCACCCCCATCTCCAGAGCCTCCTCCAGATCCCTGGGGACACACAGGTGAGACAGGTGGGCAAGGCCCTGCAGGGAATCCCACCCAGTTCTGGAGAACCACTCACTTGGCCCCCATTGGGATGACTCCTTTGGAGCCGACTCCGACCGGGATGTGATCGAACAGGGACTGAGCCAGCTGCTCCTTCACCGGCTGGACGTCCCGCTCGTCCAGGTTGGTCCTCAGGAGTCGGACACCACAGTTAATGTCAAAGCCGACGCCACCCGGAGACACCACTGCATTTGGATCATTCATGTCGAAGGCAGCCATGTTGCCGATGGCGAAGCCGTATCCAGAGTGGACATCTGGGAGTCCGATGGACCTCTGTGGAGACATTTTAGATTAAGGTTTTGATTTGTCTAAAGTTCAAATCATTCAGATGTACTCACATGAACAATTCCAGGCAGAGCTGCAACGTTCCCAATTTGCTTCATGGCCGGCAGGAACCCTCCGATACCTGAAGACAAACAGGACAGGTGAGACTGAACACCTGGGAGACAGCGGGCGGCACGTGACAGATCCACTCACCTCCTCCTCTGCAGGCGTTCCGGAGCTCCTCAAACATCAGCTTCTCCAGGGAATCATTCACATAGAAGACTCCTTCAACCTGAAGGGAAAAGTTAAAAGGCAGATTCTGTCACACTTTTTTCTTCCACCAGAGTTTCCACAGTAAAGCTCAATGAAAAAATGAAAATGGTTTCTGTCTGCGAGGGAACATTAGACTAGAGCAGGACATTTACAGAAAAACTTGAATCCTTAACGTCAGCCTAAAACTGCAGCCTCACTCTGATATCGAACCTCTATATTCGCCCTTTAAGAGCTCAGCAGCTGTCAGCCTGGACCTTCAGGCTGAACTCTGTTCTCTGTTTCTATCATTGAAATCTTACTTCATCAAACTGATAAAAACAAGCTTCTGAAATTTAATTTTCTTTGAAATATGTCTTTATCTTGGGGTCCTCCATCTTTCGGATTGCTTCTTAAAGTCGGCCTGGACCCAACAGAACCCTGAGGTCCAGTTTATCTCCGACAGATCCCCCCTGGACTCTGTCGGAACAGAACCTGCTCACCTGCATGTTGGGAACAAAGCCCTTTTGATCCTCCAGGTCGTGCTGCCCGTTTTCTCCAGAAACTGCAGCTCATCGTTGTAGCTTCGGCTCATGGTTCCGACCCAAATAGCTGCCGGTTCGACGCCACGCCGCAGGACGCAAAGCGCTACGGAAGCCGGTGAGACTCAGACTGCAGGAATGACGCAGGAAGATTTAAATGTTCTTATTAAAAGATTCCGGGGTGTTCTTAAGCGAATTTAAGATCGGTTCGGGTTTCTTGTAGAAATTAAACCCTTAGCGTTCCAATATTTGTAATTTTCTTCTTCTTTGGTTAAAAACGGTGAAGCAGTGCTTCTGAGGGTGGGTTAGAATGCTCCGCCGCCACCTGCTGGTAAGGAGACTCATTACAAATTTTTATATCTACATTTTGTCAAAATTTTTTTAAATTAAAGTGTTATTTTTCTTCGTCAACTCGGTTCTCTCTTCTGGGATTTTTTTAAATTAAACTTTTACAGATTCAAGTGTAACAAAACAAAGTTACACATAGATATTCCCTAATAAAACGATGTATTATGGTTGAAAATGTTACTTTTACATCATTTCATAGTCATACAGTAACTAGACTGTATACATAGGAAAACCTGTTAAATATCTGAGGCTGATCTCACCGACACAACAAACCTTGACAACAATCAAGAGTGACAATAGCACCGTAAAACTTATTTAAAATAAACTTTGCTTCCATTTCAAAAGTAAACACCCCAGAATACCAATGTTATCAGATGAAAATCTGAGGAAGTGAGAAAGCAGCAGCTGGGAGACCATGATCTGAAGTCATGTTTGAGTCAGAGAGAGGGAGTTTTAATTTGTCTGTATCTGAACTGAAGCTTCAGCGTTTCTCTCTTAGCTCTGGTTCAGCTTCTGTTCAGATGTTTGCGGATGGTTTGCTGTTGAGCAAAGATCTCCAGACCAGCTGGTTCCTGCTGGGCAAACAGGAAGTTGGTGCCACCCTGATTCCTGTTGAAATCTGCTGACTGGAAGCGTTTCTGGACCTCGGCCCGGTTGATCCGGTAAGGAGAACGTGAGCTCATAAACGCCGACCAGCAGTGAAATATCAGTCTATAAATCTTCAGTTTGTTTATGAAGCAGGAGGAGCCGCACTCCTTCATGATTTTTTGTAGACTTACCGGAACAGTTTGACTCTTCATGACCTCTGACCTGTTGACCAATAAAACGCCACAGGAACTGCTGACTGGATGACATTAGAAAATCGTTTGCTTTGGTCTGATTCTGAATAATCTGAAATATTTCATTTAACTGATCCCTGTGATACATATGTGCATACTGAAAATATGTACATTTTTATTTGACCCAATGTTGTTCTGTGTGGTCAACACTGGGTCCAACTGGAACCAGACCTGTTTGGACTGGTTCCAGTTGGAGATGCTCCACCGTTCTGGTACCGTCGCTTCTCTCGACTATCATCAAGCCTCTGCTGCGGCGCTCCGTTTTGTCCTGGACAGTTTGTTTTGGTCCAAACAGAGGAACCGCGGGCCACTGACAGAACCTTTAGTAAAGTTACTCTTTTAATCAATGTTCACCAGTTCACTGCAGAACGTCTCGGTTTCACGTATCATTTCTGTTAAATTCTTTCTTTAATAAATCATAAAGCCATTTCAGTCTGATTGAAAATATGTACATTTTTATTTGACTTTTGAGAAGCTAATAAGACATAAAACCAATAAACTTTACAGCAGAAACATGAGTGGACGTATCTGCTGTAACATCAAAGAGTAAAAACAGAAAACGTGACCATGAGTTGCTCCAGTTGGACCCGCTCCAGTGAGCAGTAGAACCTTCACTGCTTACTGTAATTTCCTGTTTGTTATAAGAGTTAAATGAGTAAGAAAAAACGTGAAACCCTGGGAGACGAGCCAAGGTCACAGACTTTATAGTTCACAGGTAGATAACCAGCACTGCTGCCAGTTAATCTGGGGGCAATCTTTATTGCCCCAGGAGGCAATACTTCAACAAACAAGCAACTGCTGCAGTAAACATGGCACTGCAGCAGCTAGATGATCGAGGATGTAAGATCTCCAGAAATCACTGCAGTGTTTCCATCGCAACCATTGGGCGATACCAACATGGCCACTGGAGGAAACGTCTCTGTCCCTCATCACAAAGTAAACTGTGGGACCAGATAGACGACGGCCAGCTGGGAAAACGAAGGGTGAATATTTGTTACAATATCTCATTATTGAGCACGGTGGAGGAGCCGTCATGCTGTGGCTGATTCTCCTCTGAAGGCCCTCACCCCATCCGACCAGAACCGGTTCTGTCCTCGGGTCCAGCTGGAGGTCACACCATGATAACTGATCTGATCAGGACTTCCAGTTAAAACTACTTCCTGTTACCAATCATCTACAGACAGGGGGCGGGGCCTCTCCAAAAGGGGCGGGGCTTCTCCAGCCTTCATAAGGACTGGCTCCTCCACAGACCAGCATTAACTCTCTTTACATAAAGGAAGACGTCTGAAAGACCATGAAGCCCGTCCTGCTGCTATTGGTTCTGCTGAGTGCTGTGCTAGCAGGTCTGGACCGAACCCGACTCTACAACGCAGCATTCATGTGTTTATTGTTCTCTGTTTTATGTGTTCATCGTTCTGTGGTTTCCTCTGCAGCTCCGGCGGAAGACAAGCTGCTGCCTGCAGGTCAGTGAGCTTCAGCATTAGTGGTGAAGGTAGAAGAGTTCTGTGGTTCTGACATGTTCTGGTTTCTCCACAGAAACAGTCGAGGCCCAATCAGCAGCAGCAGCAGCCGAAGAAGAAGAAGGAGGAGCAGACTCGGCAAGTGGGTGTTCCTGGTTTTTCTTCCCTCTCTGGTTTCATTGGTTCCACCAGCTGATGGTTCCTCCATGTTTCCTCTGCAGATCCTCGTTACAACTTCTGCCCTCAATTCTGGTTCATGTATGAAGGTCGCTGCTACAAGTACTTCAGCTCCCCAAAGTCCTGGTACAATGCTGAGGTGAGGCCTCATCATGGAGGAAACATGGAGACTTGGCTTAGACTGGTGGCCTGAGGCTTTAGTCTTGGGAGCAGTTTTTACCTAAATGATGAGTAAAATCTCGGTGGCAGCAGCTTCATTATGAAGACTCATAATGAATAATTTAGGAAACAATTAAGTAGCGCTCATATGCAAATGCAACATTGAGTTGCTGAGAACATCAAGAATTGCTGTTGAATTTCAGAAATTCAACAGTTTTAGTTGAAGTCATTTCAGGCTTGGCTGGGTCTTGGTTAGGGTTACTTCAGTCAGCTGAACTATTAGTTCTTGGCTAAGCATTGAGTGAGAGCTAAACATTTAGTTAGTGTCTTGTACATGTGTATTTACATGAACTCACTGTGTGTCCAACAGGAACAGTGTAACAGTTTTGGCGGCCATCTTGCTTCCGTGGTCAGCGCTCGGCAGTACAGCTTCCTGCAGCAGATGATGCAGACCGCCGGTCAGTCCAGCGTCTGGCTGGGAGGATTCTACCTGCAGGTCCGTTCCGGATGAACCCTCCTCACTCTGAGTAAGTCAGACCGTCACTCATTCACCTCCTGTGTTTGCCTTCAGAACCGCTGGCTGTGGATCAATCGGGACGGGTTCCACTACACCAACTGGTACCAACATTCATCTGGTACCAGCTACCCCTGCATGTTCATGTACTCGAACCGTAAGTTTCACTCTCTGGTTGAATATTCATTCATCAGCTGCTGGAGGTCCATTTGAAGTTCTGCTGTGGTTATGTTGAAGCGGGTCAGTGATTGGTCTCATCTTATTTCAGATGGTTGGGCAAATACTCAGTGCACCACAAACATTCCCTTCATTTGCTTCAAGAACCCGTTTGGCTGCTAACCGATGAGCTGAAACGTCCTCTTCTCTCTTCGCTCCGTTATCACTGTGGACAAATGTTTGTTTTTATGAAACTGTTTCTTGTCAATAAAATGTTTAAACATGTTGGATGGACTGAAGTTCCTGATCCTATGGAGGTCCAGCAGTGCCACAAATCAATAAATATAAAAACCATACCATTATTATGGAGGGCCAAGAGTGCCACAACCCTATAGATATCAAAATTACAAGCAAAACATGGAGTATTATACATAATCAGTTATTTAATGTATATATTTGCTAAAGAGGATCTTTAATAATCCCCATTGTAAGAAGTGGGCGGTGTCAAATGATGCCTAGTTAATATAATTTGGTCTGATTTTAACTTGCAGGCTGACCAATCAGAGGCTAGAGTCCATTTAAAGAGACACTAATTTATTTCACAGTGCGCTGAAATAATCATTTTTAAATGTAATTAAACAATTACAAATTCATTGGATTTTATACACATATAAAATATTTCCTGTGTATGTACTATTCAGAGATTGTATGTCCAGAGATTATGTTAATCTCTGGACATACACAGAGATTAACATAAAATTAAACTTTTATTACTTAAAGTGGGTCTTTGGTTCTGTTCTAATGGACCTTTACACTTGATCAACATGTTTTTTCTGACTGGAAATAATATTTACATTTTGGGGCAAGTAAATGATTAGGGTGATGGTAAGGAGACCTTCCAGCCTCATCAGTGAAGATAAATGATCAGAACCAGGCATGAAGCTGGGAAAGCTCTGATTGCAGCTCCAAGTTTCTCTATTGATTATTGAGAAGGGTGTGAATACTTTCAAGCATATTTTAACCAAATGTAAAGAAACAAACTTCTTGGCAGTAGAAATATATGCTATGAGTGTAAGTACTGACTTCATCCTGGTGGTGGCGCTTTTGGTGTTGAGACTTCTTACTACATCTCAGATCAGGATAAGACGGGATTGCTGCTTGGTTCTCATTAAGCTCGTTAACTCTGATCAGAATTAGATCTCTGCTTGACACTGGTGGGCGGGGCTAATGTCTGACCCCGCCCCCTGACCTCTGACATTGTGGTTGTTTGTCCTGTGAGAGCTGATGTGAGTATTTGTGCTTTAATACTAAGTTATGAGGCCCTTCTGCTCCTTATGGGGCCCAAAGCTGAGTTTGTTATGGTGGAGTAACGTCTGGGTTTAGAAATGAATGGAAGCCAAAACAAAGTCCTTCCAGATAGAAAGGCGTAATGTGTGTGTGACAGAGAGTGTGTGTGACAGAGAGTGTGTGTGACAGAGTGTGTGTGTGACAGAGTGTGTGTGTGACATAGAGTGTGTGTGACAGAGTGTGTGTGTGACATAGAGTGTGTGTGACAGAGAGTGTGTGTGTGACAGAGAGTGTGTGTGTGTGACAGAGAGTGTGTGTGTGACAGAGTGTGTGTGTGACAGAGTGTGTGTGACAGAGTGTGTGTGTGACATAGAGTGTGTGTGACAGAGAGTGTGTGTGTGACAGAGAGTGTGTGTGTGTGACAGAGTGTGTGTGTGACATAGAGTGTGTGTGACAGAGTGTGTGTGTGACAGAGAGTGTGTGTGTGACAGAGAGTGTGTGTGTGACAGAGTGTGTGTGTGACAGAGTGTGTGTGACAGAGTGTGTGTGTGACATAGAGTGTGTGTGACAGAGAGTGTGTGTGTGACAGAGTGTGTGTGACAGAGTGTGTGTGTGACAGAGTGTGTGTGTGTGACAGAGTGTGTGTGTGACAGAGTGTGTGTGTGTGACAGAGAGTGTGTGTGACAGAGAGTGTGTGTGACAGAGAGTGTGTGTGACAGAGTGTGTGTGTGACATAGAGTGTGTGTGACAGAGTGTGTGTGTGACATAGAGTGTGTGTGACAGAGAGTGTGTGTGTGACAGAGAGTGTGTGTGTGTGACAGAGAGTGTGTGTGTGACAGAGAGTGTGTGTGTGTGACAGAGTGTGTGTGACAGAGTGTGTGTGATTAGGGTGGATTAACAGTGAGCAGCAGCAGTCAGACGAGCTGCAGGCGGTCGGAGACGCTGACATGTGAGTATATTTAACCCATTTTCACACTTCAAGCTGAATGTTGACGCTCAGACATTTGCAAAACTTCTTGATCTAAATGTTAGACAGTCAAATCTTCTCAGAGCCATGATGAAGTTAAAGTTCTGACCTTCACTGAGGAGTCTTATTCAGGAAATATGAGTTGATCCAATAGACCCATGAGGGTCTCGTCATGTTTTCTGTGAAGCTGGTTCTGCTGATGACCTGCAGAGATTCTCCAGGTCAGTTTTCACTCTGCAGCTCAAGCAGGTCAGCGGAGGTGAAATAAGCCGAAGGTTAGCTCCTGCTGTCTGGACCTGGCTGACCCGGGTCAGTCGACCTCTGGTCCTGATGAGCAGGAGATGGCGGGCCGGCTGTGAGCCGGTGTCTGGAACGGACGGGTCGGCTGTGTGTGAGAGCGTCTTTGTTTCGGTCATGTGATCATCGCAGCTGAGGGAGAAGCTTTATCTGCTTTATGCTGCTGAAAATCTCCAGATTCCTGAATATTTGGATGTTGTTCCTCTCAGTTTGGAGGTTAGAGATCCACTAGCGGAGGTTCTGGACACTGGACTCAGCAACTTGCCTTGTTTAAGGTGATTACTTCAATACTGAAGCGACTTCACACAGCTGGACAGAACTTCGTCTCCATAAACTTTGGATCAGATCTGGCTCCATTCCTCTGGGACTGTTCAATGACACCTGAACTTAAAGAGGAATCAAAACTAATTACCATTAGTTAATTACCTTTTACTACTATTTACAGCCTCTGACTTTTCCTCACACCTTTGTAGGATCCCCGCTTGGCTGCAGGTGTTCCGTCTGTCCAAGACTCGGTAGGTTTGCAGGTAATCTGTCTTGTGCTTGTCCAGATGATCGATTGATCAAAGCTCTGAAATGTTCAGAGCTTTGGATGCTGCTGTGGAACCAAACCCTGCCTCCATTTCACTCTGGATGAAGACTTCCATTGCTCTTCTTGACCTACATGACCCATCAGAACATGACCAAAAACTGACTCCTGGTACATTAAAAAGGTTCTTCTTGTCCCCAAAATAACCAACAGTACCTTAACTACATTCTATTTGTCATTTCCCGACGTCACAAACACTGCCATAAACCTCCGTCAGGCTGTAAACCAGGACCTCTAAACATGAGCATGAGAATGAGATGAGGAGCCAACGCCAGCTCACTGCAGAAGAGCTTTTCAATGCAGTGAAGGTTTCTTTATGCCTCCCTGAAGACTTCACAAAGACCCTGAAATCTTACAAAGACTCTTCAAAGACTACCAAAACTTATCAAAGACCTCAATAAGACCCTACAAACACCTCACAAGAATCTAAGATCCCACTAAAATCTTGCAGACATCTCAAAATCTCTACATAGATGCTGCTTTGGCAGATTATATTACAATAGAGTTTTAATCCAGTGTAAAAGGATTATTGGAGCATGTTCTAAAGTTTCATTTGAATTGTTAAAATCTACTCTGCACTCACCCGGAGTCACAGTGAAAAACCTAAAAGCCTTTGTCTGAAGGTTAGAAGTCTGAACTTTTCCTTCTTTACCTTTCAGCTGATGTCAGAAGAGGAGCTGGGACCCACCAACAGGTGACACCCTTCCCATGATGCCCTGCAGTTTTGAGGGATCACCATGGGAGATGAGTCTTACCCAGAATGCCAAGCACAGGAGCTGTTTGATGAGTTTGTGTCAGCCACGACCTGCAGGGCGGTGCTGCGCTGCTTCAGCCAGCTGTGTGAACATCTGCAGCTGGATCACAGCACCACCGAAAAGCCTCTCTACCAACCAATCAAACGGCGGCTCAACTACTGGAAGGCCAATGCTCTGTGGGCCAAACTGGACCGGAGGGCAGAACAGCAGGAGTACCAGAGGGGCCGGGTCTGCAGAAACATGACTGTGAGGCTTTACCGTTTTCTCGAACGATGCATTTAGACAAACTGTTTCTGATTGGTCAGCTTGTCTCCCCTCTGATTGATCAGTGTGTGATCATCGGGGCTGGGCCTTGTGGCCTCAGAACAGCGGTGGAGCTCTGCTTCATGGGAGCTCGAGTGGTAGTCCTGGAGAAAAGGGACTCGTTCTCCAGAAACAACGTGCTCCACCTTTGGCCCTTCACCATCTACGACCTGAGAGGTCTCGGGGCAAAAAAGTTCTACGGAAAGTTTTGTGCAGGCTCCATTGACCACATCAGTGAGTCTTTGACCAGCTGGTTCTGTCTGATGATGATGATAGTGTCCAAACCACCTCTCTCCTGTGTGCAGGTATTCGACAGCTGCAGCTCATTCTGCTGAAGGTGGCCTTGCTCCTGGGGGCTGAGGTTCATGTCAATGTTGAGTTCAAGCAGCTGGTGGAGCCACCAGAGGACCAGCACAGAAACAGTGAGGCCAGGGAGGTTGAAGGAAGAGGGTGTAGGCAGAAAATACAACCAACCAGTTTCATGAAGGACACTGAAGAATCTAAAGCTTTGTAGCAGAGAAAACAGCCTCAGACTCTTGTGTTAGTTTAAGCTTTTAAATAAACTAAAAGCTGAAATGTTTGGATTGAAAGGCTTGAAATTCAAGTTACGTCTTTATGAATAAAACTGATCTATCATCTGTCCAGAGGAGGGCTGGAGGATGGAGGTGAGACCAAAGCCCCACCCAGTCAGTCAGATGGAGTTCGACGTCATAATTGGAGCAGATGGACGCAGGAACACGCTGCCAGGTTTTCAAACGTTTACATCAGTCCTTCTGCCGTTTATGATTGGACCTGGATGAGACAGATTTTCTGGTGATCAGGTTTCAGGCGTAAGGAGTTCAGGGGGAAACTGGCCATCGCCATCACAGCCAACTTCAAAAACAGAAACACCTCAGCCGAAGCCAAAGTGGAAGAGATCAGTGGAGTGGCTTTCATCTTCAACCAGAGGTTCTTTCAGGAGCTGCGGCAAGAAACTGGTTCGTCTGAACCTGCAGGTCTGACTGAGACACCTGGTCTGGAACTCAGTCTAACATAAAAACCTGGTTTCAGGTATTGACCTGGAGAACATCGTCTACTACAAAGACGACACGCACTACTTTGTTATGACAGCAAAGAAACAGAGTCTCTTGGACAAAGGAGTCATTCTACAGGTAAGTAAAACACCTGAAGTAAATAGAGTCACTGGTGAGAGTTACCTTGAAGATACTTAAAAGGAAAAATGATCACACCTGGAGTAACTTTAGTGAAAAACTCCTGGACACATTATTACAGGTAATAACATACTTACAACATACACTATGACACTCTTCACTGGTAATCTCACCTCAGGTCCTTCTAAAGGTAACAGAGACACAGAAGGTAAATCGCTCACCTGTAGCCACTCCATTGGTAGTAAGCTAGGTCTGTGGTCACAAAAGCAAATCATCACACCTGGAGTCAAAGATCAACAGAACTTTGAGTTGAAGGTATCATGAGTCTGTCCTCCTTCAGGACTTTCCAGACACAGAGCTCCTCTCTCGAGGGAATGTGGACCAGGATGCTTTGCAGGCATACGCCCGTGAGGCCGCAGACTTCTCCACCAATCACCAACTGCCAATCCTGGACTTCGCCATGAACCACTACGGTCAGCCGGACGTCGCCATGTTCGACTTACCTGTGTATGTATGCATCAGAAAATGCTGCATTGATTCGCCAGCGCTACGGACACCAGCTGCTGGTCACATTGGTTGGAGACAGTCTGCTGGAGGTGAGACAGGTGTCTTCTGGACAAAGACATGCAACCAGTCAGTCATGATTAGAACAGATCTCTGTATGTTTACAGCCCTTTTGGCCGATGGGGACAGGTGTGGCACGGGGGTTCCTATCAGCTCTGGATTCAGCCTGGATGATCAGAAGTTGGGCTCAGGGTAGAGCACCACTCGATGTCCTGGCTGAGAGGTAAGAGCTCACCTGGACATGATTTACCTTCTGAATTGCCTTATGATTTGACATGATCTTTGTCACCTAGGGAAAGTCTGTACCGTCTGTTGCCTCAGACGACTCCAGAGAACATGCAGAAGAGCATCAGTCTGTTCACCGTAGATCCAGGGACAAGATACGTGAACATCAGCCCTCTGACTGTCACACCTGCTCAGGTGAACACACAACAGGCTGAGACGTTATTTCATGTTGTCTTTAAAATAAAGGCACTGAAAACTTTTTATCTTTCATGTTGATATTCTTTTGGTTGCCAGGTGAGACACCTGGTAGACACAGGTGAAGAGGCGGGGCTAAACACAAGTGAGAGTCATATTATCCGGCTGCCTTCCCCCAGACTTTCAAGCCAAGGTGACTTAACTTTCATAACCTTTGTTACCTGAATGTTCATCCATTGGCTCATTGTCACAGGTTTACCTGAGATCTGCTCACCTGGCACCAAGTGACCCCAAACACTGGGTCACCTGGTTTGTTTTGACTCTGGTTGGGTCTTTAGAGGTACATTGGTTCTCGATGAAACATCAGTAAAGTACAATCATTCTACAATTACTTCAGGATCAAGTTCAGTCAGATCAGGTAGATCACCTGGACTCAGGAACAACAGTAAGAACCAAGAGTCCAGACCTTTATCCAAAGGTTATGGGTGGGGGCCGTTTACAGTGAGAAAAAATGTATGGTACCATTTACCTGAGGACTCGACTGTTATATATGGAGCCTTGACGCAGGGTGCAGTGCTGGTTGGACCACAGCTGAGGATCAAGCTCAGATGTCCAAACTTTATTTGCTTTCTGAAAGTGTTGCGTCTTTAATTCGTTTGGTCTCCCATCTCATTTCCTTCTCAGAGTCCTTCTCTCAGTCCAATCAGCTGTTGACTTGGTGTCAGCACCAGACTAATGGTTATAGAGGTGTCGCTGTTTGTGATCTGACTACTTCCTGGAAGAGTGGCCTTGCTCTTTGTGCTCTTATCCACCGATGCCGACCAGATCTGATGTAACACACTCGACAGTCATGTTTTAAGGCTTGTGATTAAAACACAGAAGACTGATCGTGTTCTGACCTGAAACTGTCCAATCTCAGAGACTTTCGACTCTCTGGACGAGTCGTCAGTGGAGGAAAACATCCGCCTTGCATTTGACGTGGCTGAGGAAGAATTTGGGATTTCACCTCTGATGACGGTGGAAGAGATGTCTGTTGGAGAACCAGACTCTCTTTCTATGGTGATGTACCTGAGTCAGTTCTACCAGCTGCACAAAGAGTTACTGCGCCCTGCTGGTGAGACCGAACATTGCAACAGCTTTTACATGTTTTTACCCAAACTGATGTGAGGTCAGCTGAGTCCAGTAAACTCAGCATCAGTGAAGCAGCTGGTGTTGGCGTTTGTTTCAGGCTCCCTGAGTCAAAATGCTGATCTGAGAGCAGCTCTCTTCACTCCAGCCTCCCTCCTCAGCAGACTGGGAACTAGTCCATCCAAGAAGAGAAACCCAAAGGTACCAGGGGCTCCTTCTCATCATGTCTGCTGTGTTCTGTCTCAGATTTACCGCAGTATTGACCTGTTACCTCTGCAGGAGGATGGAGACGCTCTGGGCAAAAGCAGAAGGATGAATCTGGAGAGTGGAGAGCTGCAGGAGGTTAGCTACCTCTGGATGCATTGAAACATTTTGAATTTTTCCATCTACAGTCTCAAATCTTCATCTCTTCCTGTTTTCTGTCTTCCAGTCACGTGACTTTAATGGTGACTTTGATGAGAACTTTGTGGGTGGGACCAGCCGCTCCAGAGTTCGTTTGATGGCCAATCAGCTGCAGGCAAAGCTGGACGAGGGCTCTGCGACCTGCGTGACCTCTTCGTCTTCTTCTGCTCTTCGTCAGCAGGTGGGCGGAGTCGGGCTCTGGGTCTGCAGTGCGACTCATGATGTAAACAGGAAACAGACTGGAGCTCCCCTCCATGACGTCACCTGTACCACATGCCAAACTAGCGTGTTGTTCCCAATAATGTGATTCCACCTGATAACCAGCAGGGGGCCCCGTCCAGCATCCCTCCCGCGGAGTCCGCAGACCTCCCGCAGGCCACGCCTCCTGTTCAGTCGTCGTCATGGAGACCGGTAAAACCCAGTAAAATCCGGACATTTTGATTCTGTTAGACCTGCAGCTCACATCAGGATTCAATGCTAAAGTGAAAAGGGTCAATTATTCCGGGAGAATTATTTATTGTTACCAGCAGAACCTGCCCGGTTCGGGCCGGACTCACGGTTCGGACTCACGGTTCGGACTCACGGTTCTGCGCTGCCCTCTCCTCTCTCTGCTAGAAGAAGCGGACCCTCCAGCAGGAGCAGATGAGTTTCCGCTTCAGGGAGAGGATCAAGTCTCAGTGGGCCGCCAACCGGGACCAGCAGGTACTGGTGCTGGACGTGACGTCACGTGACCCGGTCCGACCCGCCGGGCCTCCTCTGTCCTCTGTCTTGTTGTGTCCTGTGGCTGCAACCGTCCCCAGCGCCGCATGTGACCCACTACAGCTGAACCCCATGAATGGTTCCTATTGATGGGCCCGGGAGCCTGCCGAACCGCCCTGACAGCTGGACGGGTTGCTGACTGGGCACTTTGTGCAGCCGGACCAGAAATCCCCACAATGTTTCCACAATCAGAGTTTCAGTTCATCTGCAGCAGCTTCCAGCAAAACTGGCAGCAGAAATGCAAAAATCAGCAGCAGAGAGTCCAGACCGGAAGTCTGACCTCAGTAAAGATGGCCGCCATTGAACACTTTGAATTAATGGAGGATCGATCCTGATTGGTTCGTTTAGTTTGTCCTGTGAGAACAGAAACACTGATTGTGCTGCTGAAGATGCAGGACTTTAGATCAGTTAACTGTGATGTCCCCTCATGTCCTCCCTGTCCCCTCACGTCCTCTCTGTCCCCTCATGTCCTCCCTGTCCCCTCACGTCCTCTATGTCCCCTCATGTCCTCCCTGTCCCCTCACGTCCTCCCTGTTCCCTTCACGTCCTCTCTGTCCCCTCAGGTCCTCCATGTCCCCTCAGGTCCTCTATGTCCCCTCATGTCCTCCCTGTCCCCTCACGTCCTCCCTGTCCCCTCACGTCCTCTATGTCCCCTCATGTCCTCCCTGTCCCCTCACGTCCTCCCTGTTCCCTTCACGTCCTCTCTGTCCCCTCACGTCCTCTCTGTCCCCTCAGGTCCTCCATGTCCCCTCTGTCCCTTTATGTCCTATATGTCCCCTCTGTCCCTTTACGTCCTCTATGTCCCCTCATGTCCTCTCTGTCCCCTCATGTCCTCCATGTCCCCTCACGTCCTCTATGTCCCCTCACGTCCTCCCTGTTCCCCTCACGTCCTCTCTGTCCCCTCACGTCCTCTCTGTCCCCTCATGTCCTCCCTGTTCCCTTCACGTCCTCTCTGTCCCCTCAGGTCCTCCATGTCCCCTCAGGTCCTCTATGTCCCCTCATGTCCTCTATGTCCCCTCTGTCCCTTTATGTCCCCTCTGTCCCTTTACGTCCTCTATGTCCCCTCATGTCCTCTCTGTCCCTTCATATTCTCTCTGTCCCCTCATGTCCTCTCTGTCCCCTCACGTCCTCCCTGTTCCCTTCACGTCCTCTCTGTCCCTTCAGTCCTCTCTGTCCCTTCAGTCCTCTCTGTCCCTTCACGTCCTCTCTGTCCCCTCATGTCCTCCCTGTTCCCTTCACGTCCTCTCTGTCCCCTCACGTCCTCTCTGTCCCCTCACGTCCTCCCTGTTCCCCTCACGTCCTCTATGTCCCCTCACGTCCTCCCTGTTCCCCTCACGTCCTCTCTGTCCCTCAGGTCCTCCATGTCCCCTCAGGTCCTCTATGTCCCCTCATGTCCTCTATGTCCCCTCTGTCCTATATGTCCCATCTGTCCCTTTACGTCCTCTATGTTCCCTCATGTCCTCTCTGTCCCTTCATATTCTCTCTGTCCCCTCACGTCCTCCCTGTTCCCCTCACGTCCTCTCTGTCCCCTCATGTCCTCCCTGTTCCCTTCACGTCCTCTCTGTCTGTCCAAAGTGTCTTCAGATGTACTTGGCTGGTTGTCTGCTCATTGGGTGAGCAGACAACCAGCCGTTTTCAGCGCCAGCAGCAGAGTAGCTTGGTTGGAAGATTTCTTCATCTTTATGTGGAATGGCCACTAGAGGGCAGGAGTGGTGCCTTCATAGAAAATTGAGTGGAAGGAAACCATCAGAATCATCAGATCTGCAAGAGTTAAAGGCAGAACTGTTTTCCTCTGTGGTTGGTGGAGCAGCCCAGAGGCTAGTGGAGACTCTGGAGGAGCTGCAGAGATCCGACCCGGTTCCAGTTTCTCACAAACCCAGGAGAACGCGGCAGCCTCTGGTCTGGTTCTGCTTCAGTAAAAAAAATAAAGTTATGAATGTGGAGAATGAGGATATTTATTTCGTCTGTTCTTCTGTCCGGTTCTGATTCCTTCCGTCCTCGGGTCTTTGTCTCTCTGTTGTCCCCCTGTCCAATCGGTGTCTCCGTCCTGCAGGTCTCTGTGGGAAGCGACGTCTGTTTCTTCTGCAAGCAGAAGGTTTATGTGATGGAGCGTCTGAGCGCAGAGGGCCTCTTCTTCCATCGCAGCTGCTTCCGTTGTGATTCCTGCAGCGCCCCCCTCAGGCTGGTCTCCTACAGCTACAACCAGGACTCGGGTCAGTTCACAGATGACCTCTGACCTTTTGGAAAAAGTAGCTACATTTGTCGCTCGTCGCTTTTTTTAAAAGAGAAAATTTAACAACAGCTTCGATCCTCCTGAAAACAGGAGTCAGTCGGTACGAGTGAGGAAATCTAAATGTCTCATCAGTTCATCTGAACTCTGAGTTATTAGCATCATCCAGATCCAGTCGCATTTTAATCATTTATTGTTTGTCTGGGTTGGTGATGCAGCAGCTGTTTGACGACCTCCAGGCTCACATGACACGAAGCTTTAATCAGCCGACTCATGACTGCGTTTCCATCAGCAGCATCACCAAACCACAGCTCTGCTGGCAGATAATCTGAGACCAAAATAGCAACCAGTAACTGGAACATAATCTGCTGAAATAGGACAATATGGAGACCAACACATCAGATTTACTTTCACACTAAAAAGCAGGAAGTTCTGCTGCTGGATCAGTTTTATAACCTCCCTGCTCAGATCGACTCATCAACACTGAGGACAAACATATTTATAAGGTCAAAGGTCATGCTTAGCTGGCATAATGAGGCTAACCATAAAGGCTGAAGATGAGCTCACTTCTTTTTTTATTCATCATCGACTTTATGAACTAAAGGTTTGAGTTTCCAAGGCAACAACAAACCGGGACTGTGTGGGGTTCAAGGTTCAGGAACTACCAGGGGGACCCCCATGCGGCCCATCGGGCCCCCATGATGCCCATCGGGCCCCCATGATGCCCATCGGGCCCCCATGCGGCTCGTCGGACCCCCATGATGCCCATCTACCACCCATGATGCCCATCGGGCCCCCATGATGCCCATCGGGCCCCCATGCGGCTCGTCGGACCCCCATGCGGCCCATCGGGCCCCCATGCGGCCCATCGGGCCCCATGCGGCTCGTCGGACCCCCATGATGCCCATCGGGCCCCCATGCGGCTCGTCGGACCCC